GAGCTGCAGAAGGAGCTGCAGCTGTCTCCTGGGACGGCAGGCTCTCCCCGGTGCCAGCCCCGTGACTCGGGGAGGCCGGAGCGCTGCGGAGCAGAAGCCGCCGCAGGTGCCGGAGCGCGGCTGGGGCGCGGGGCGGCCGAGGAACGCGGGCTATTTTCACTGACATCCCTGCCCCGCACACACGCTCCAGCCCCGACGCCGGGCAGCCACGGCCACAACGCCAGGCTGCAGCTCGCTGCCCGCGACGTGGGCTGCCAGTCACCTGTTCTGCGGGGAGGACACCATAAATTTGGATGTGGGCGCCTGTCCGAGGGTGTTTTTGGGGAGGAAGGCGCTGCAAGGGCCCGGCAGGGAGCCGGAGGAAGGGTGTAAGTAAGGGAGCATAGCCGAGCCACCGCAGACAAGGATCCTGAATCCTTTGGCCCTGGGGAGGTCAGCGTTAGGCTCCACTTGTCCTCGCCATTCAAGCTGAGAGCAGAACCAGCCAAGGCAGGGGAAAGCATGCAATCATAAAGAAAAAAGCTCGCTGGAAGAGCCAAAGGGAACCTTTCTGATGCGCAGACCCTCTCCGACGAGCAAAGGATGGAGAAAGTGTAATTAGCACCCCTGTTTCTCCCAGCAGGCCACCCCCACCTGGTGTTTATCTCCTTAATACTCAGGTAAGTAAATCCGCCCCCCCATCGCTCCCTAAGAGCAAGCTGGGTCATTAGGAGGTATGCAAAAAGGCTCACCCGAGTCTGCAGAAAATCAGAGGCGTGCTGGCTGCACGGGATGGACAGACGAGCCGCAGGCAGCTGGCTGAGTAAGGAGGTATAAAAGGGCTTCTCGGGTGGCTCAGCAGAAAATCCACCTTCTCTTTAAGGGCATGGAGACCTTCTCAGACCAATGATGTGCAAGAGTCCCCCGTGCACCTCCCTTGGCTGGGGCAGGCCAGGCCGGCAGGAGAACAGGAGAGGGCAGCCCCCAGGGAAGGAGGGGTGGGGAGGAGGAGAACATCTTCTACCCATGGGATCCAGAGGAGCTGGGGAGGTGTTTTTCCTCAGAAGTGCCAAGGAGGGAGCCTTCCTCTCCCTTTTCCAGCCACCAACCAGTCACAATAGATATGGCTTCAAATCTGTGGGGAGTCCAGGCTCCCTGCACGCAGCCATCCATCTGCAAGGCCTCTAATTAAAATTTCCCCTTGGATACACAGAGTGGCTTATCCATGGACAAGGGCATAACTCAATTTGCCTTCAGGGGCTTGGGAGCAACTCTGCCTTTCAGGAAGGAAGAAAGAGCTTGCACCCCAAATATCCACTGCCGACAGCAAATGCGAGAGCAATCCCTCAATAAGCCGTCCAGCACTAGCATGCTTTTAAAACCTTAATTAGTTCCCTCACACAGGAAATACTTGCAGCTCTTCCCTGTGTGGAATATTTCAACACAACTCAGTTTTTTTAAAAAAACAAGCTGTGGATCTGGTGCAGGCAGCCTTAAGCCTCAAATCCAGCCAGCGGCTGGGCAGAGGCAGCTGAGCATGAGGGAGCAGCCCCATGCTGACAGCAAGACGGGTAATCCCCTCCGTGGGATGACCCAGACCCATATCTCCATGGATCTGAAGGAGAAGCAGGTGGAAACGTGGCTGGAAATATTCCCCAGCCCTGGTCACAGCGCATGTAGTGCGTGTGTGTAGGGGATCCCATGGAGACAGGGACCCAAACAGCTCCTGCTCTCCTCCCCCAGGCCAGGCACTCCCTCCTCTTCCAGCTGGGGTTTTTTAGGCTGATTCAGACATGGCCCTGGCAATTTTTTCCAGGCGCCCTACAGACATTATATAGATAGTGGCAAATCCCTTGCTGCAGGCTTCCTGTTTCACTGCCCTCAGCACCACGCAAGTAGTGCTGCAGATGCTGCTGAAGGACGAGCACGTCCTCGGTATGGGGCTGGTGTCTTGCAGGGGTTTGCTGTGGTAGCAGGTGGAGGAGAGAGAAACCCCTAGCATGGGCAAGGCTGGGTCCAATTGGGATATGTCCCTTGGAAATGCTGCAGCTACACATTCTGGCCTCTGCTGGCCCCTCCAGAGAGCCGCTCAGCTCTTGGTGGAGGAATCAAAACTGGGCCAGTTCTTCATTCAAAATTCCCCACAGCCAGGAAGTTTCCTTCAGCTCTGTGGGATGAAGACATTCTGAACCTCCTGGAGTCCAGGCATGTGGCACAGCAAAAGAGATCTGCTCAAAATTTCAAGTGTATGGTTATCACCTTGTGACAGGAAAGTGTTGGCCTGATATAGTGGAAGACTGAAGTTCAAAGAAAGAAACCCCATGAACAAAGTATTGGCCAACAGAAGTGTTTGTAGGATATGGGAGGAGTGGATGGTGAGGTGTGGTAATAGGATGAGCAGAAGGCTTTCCATGTTTCCATGGAGCTGCCTTGCACAGGGAGAAAAAAAAAAGAATCAGCAGACTTAAATGGCAAGAGGAAGAAACCCACTGAGGAGAAGGAAGAACAGAAAAACAAATCCGTGTCAAAGTTAGAAGAACTTTGTGAACTTTCACCATGGTGAACGTTAGGAAAGACAGAAGTTTCCAAAGGAATTATATAAGTGTTTGAGTGATGAAAGAACAAGTTTATTGCAGAAAAGCCCAAGGAAGGCATAAGGAAGCTCCAGACCAATCCTTCAAAGGGTGTTTGGCTCTCAGTATTAGGTATTAGTGAGGTAATTAGGCAGGGGCCAGGAATGGATGCACTGTTCATACTTGGGTACTTTCCTATGGAGCATCTGAGCCTGCTCCTTTCCCTCATTTCCCCCCACTTGAGTTAGAGGAATGCACTGTGGGTGTGGGCCACCATTCCCAGAGCACTTCCACCATCCTGCAAGGTCAGACAGAGGGAAGACCTGTCACACACAGGAGGTTCTGCATGATTTTTTAGAAGCTCCGGTGTGGCTCTTATGGGTCAGGCTCCTCCACAGAATCACCACGTGTTGGAAGGATGAGGCTGATGAATCCATGCAAGCTGTTCCTCATAACACCCTCCTATTCCTTTACACCTTGCCTCCTCTTCAACATCCCACAAGCTTCAAGTGGACAGGTGCTATGGAGTGACGTGACACCAGATGATACTAGGCCTTATTTCCAAGGATGACAGTGTTAACAAACCACAAGCATGCTACTTCAGCAGCAATTGTGATCATGCTAAAAGTCCAGGAAAGATCACTGGGGAAACCTGTATTTGACCACCCTTTGTTTTCCCAAAATCACATCACACCAAAGAAAAGCACATCCTGCCCAGGACATACCCATTCCCCTCCAGTGTGTCCCTAAAAGAGCTCCCCATTTCTCTCCTCCTGCTGACACCAACCCCCAGGAGCTCTACAAAGGAATGCCATCACTTTCACATCTTTGTGCCAGTGCTGTCCTACATCCCATAGCTAGAGCCACCTCATTTGCCCATGAAATGGGATTAAGGTTTTTGGCTTTTCCTCTTCAGGGCTGCTGCCAACCAACACAGCCACCCTGTCTGTTTAGCTCCATGCTATCTTCCTTGACAGGGAGTGCTTCAGGCACATGATGTTGATACCCTCAGGCTCCAAACCCACCAGCAGGTCCTGATGACACTCCTCATGTTCAGCAGATACATCACAAACTCATAAGCTGACAGCTGCTTCATGCTGTGTTCGGCCATCAGCTACACAACGATGGACACAGGACCCTGGGAGAAGCCATCCCAGCAGTGGATGAGGACACAATTCCCTTTTTCCAGTGAGCCTTTGATGCATTCATCAGTGTCCCAGAAACAGGGCTGCCCCATTCCATGACAGTCCCCATGGGGCAGAGCCCAGATGTCAGCCTTGAGGTGTGAGCTGAACCCTCTCCGTGGCAGAGGTAGGGGATGACACTCAGGCTGCCATGGCTGGGCAGGCAGCTCATGTCACTGAAGCTGTCAGTGATGAAGCTGTCAGTGATGAAGCTGCCAGTGCTGCTCATGCACAGCCCCTGCCCACTGTCAATGTTCCCAGGGTGGATGCAGCCAGTTACCTGAGTGATGATGGGTCCTGTGAAGGGGCAACACACATTTCTGACCAGTGGGTTCCTTGAGATGTGGCTTTTTCTTGTTCCTCTTGAGGGATTTCTTGGAGCTGGCATGTGGTGCAGGGGGCTGAAATTGGGCTCTGAGCCCCACAACAGCGGCAAAAAGAGGGACAAGTGACAGGAGAGCTTGGCCTTGAAGGGGAGTCTGCTGGAGAAGGCAGGGGAGGAGCAGGGGTGGGATTGGATCTCTGGGCCTGCATCAGGGAGCCATGTTGTGGACTGCCCCTCTGTTCTCAGGCTTTTCCATCTGTCAAACAGTATAAAGGAAAGGACTGGTGAGACCACAAGAACTCATCTCCCCAGCTGCACGAGCAAGGAGACATGCAGACTAATCTTGCAGAAGCAGCTGCTGCCTCCTGCTGATGGTGCTAAGAAGAGTGACCAGGGTATCTTGCCACTTTGCAGGACTATGGACACCACGTCCCTGCCCCTTCTCTTCATGCACTTCACTTTTATACTCACCAACTTTGGACAAGTGCCTGTAGGAACAGAACAACTCCCTATGGACACACATAAGTACTCACACATGGCTGTTTTAGGTGTTTATACCAAAACTTGAAGAGAAATGCCTTGAAGAGAAACAAGGCATTTTAATGATCCCTTCCACTCCAAAGGGACGCTCTTTGGTGTGAGCTTCCAGAAGAGTTTGCAGCTCACTCAAGCTGGAGCCTGGAGGAAGGGCAGCATTTCAAAATAAAAACACAAAAGGTTGAAGAGAGGCTTCAGGGAGAGGGCAGAAACCAGAAAACTCCTCTGGATGGAGTCCCTTCTGACCATGGTAGCACACAGGAGCTTCAGTCTCCAGTGATGGAGCCAGGGTTAGGATCACTCAGTTCCCAGCAC